AGATATTAGACTCCTCTCCTCTCAGATAGATATTCCCATGTAGAGGGACAGCCATTAGATTAATTCTCCTTTCTAGGAGAAAGGAAGACACACAACTGATGAATTTGTTTAGTGAGCTTATCACGCTTGGCTCAGCCCCTCCTTCATTTTTCTGCTTTGGAACTTGCTTGCCTGCAGAGGTCAGACGTCTAACTCTGCCCTCCAGGCCTTATGTTATACGACTGTCTTTGCATGTTTTGCAATGCCTATGACTTGAAGGCTGAATGTGCCTCATTCTAGAGTTCACACTTAGCCTACATCTACATCATGCCCACTGATATAATCCTATCCATAATAAAAATAATCTTTAATTCCCAGCCATTTCTGGGACAATCTCTCATTTGGTTCTGAAATTGTACAGGGAGGAGCATTATGATGTAACTGCAATGCTACTGAAAACACTCGTATAATCAAGAGGTTGTAAAAAGTCTTGTATATTTTCCCAGGAGTTGAGATACCACAGAATTTCTTCTCAATGGTCAATATTTTATTTATTGTCAAAGTCATGAAGCTATCTCAGGAATGTAAGTGAAATATAAAGGAAAAGTTAAATGAAAAGGAAAGGCCACAAGTCAGAATAGAATTTTTTAGTACAAAAATAGCCCAGCTACTCAGCCACCTTATAAATGCATCTCGATTTGTGTGTTTGTATATGACTATGTATTTGTATAAACATGTATTTTTTTTTCTAACAGCAGAAATGAACCTCAAGTCATGATGCATTTACCTGAATCCTCTGCAAAGCCTACCTCAACGCTCCTATTATACATGTACTTATGCATCCTAGTCTCATGTATTTCTTCTCTTCATAGATGTAATTTCATCTTGCACACATTAATTATATCACATTTGGGGGAGTATTTGTGGTAACTACTTATAAATTTATTTATGTCTAGGGAGTAATACTCACTCAAATATTTTTCAATCTTATCTTGCTAACAATATATTCACACATAAGTTTATCAGTTTCTTTTCTATGCAAGCCATCCATCCTTCCACGGTTTTCTACTTCCCTATTTTATATGTATTTTGTATTCTAAATATATGCTTCATATTTCCCATCTTGAGCTGGAAGTCAAAATAAAATGTTCTACTGCATACAAAGATGTGGCATCCCAGAAGAGTGAAGGAATACAAAGAAAATGCTCAATCAAGATACAGGTGACAGGAAATCGAAATGTAGTAAAATGAAGCCAGGCCATTAAGGTATCCACTGACTGAACATTTGTCACCCAGAAACTCACATAGCAAAATTCTTATCAGCATTGCATTAGACAAAATATAAAAATAATATGTTTTAAGGACATAACTCAGTTTAAGCCCCAGGTCTATGAATATAGACATAATTAGGCAGTAAGTCAAGAAGGGAGTATTTAAAATGCACAGATAGGTCTTCAAAAAGTACAAAAGTAAACGAAAAGGGTAGGGATATGTATGGATCTGGAAGAAGGAGTAGAAAATTTGACAATACCAAAGCATAGATGGGAAACAAAACAAAACAACAAAAAAACCCACTAAAATGTAATTTACAAGATAGGGAGATGCTAAAATGACTTGGACAAATGTAAGAAATTTAAAAACATAAATGAGAGGGCGCCTGGGTGGCTCAGTTGGTTAAGCGACTGCCTTCGGCTCAGGTCATGATCCTGGAGTCCCTGGATCGAGTCCCACATCGGGCTCCCTGCTCGGCAGGGAGTCTGCTTCTCCCTCTGACCCTCCCCCCCTCATGTGTTCGCTCTCATTCTCTCTCTCTCAAATAAATAAATAAAATCTTTAAACAAATAAAAAATAAAAAAAATAAATAAAAACATAAATGAGAACCTTGGAATTTATTATTAGGACATGAATAAGAATGATTAAATTATTGGACACATGCCAACTGACTTTCCTTAATCTATGGCTCCCCACTTAATGAGAATCTATTACTGACTCAATGAAATAATACAGCCAAAGGAAAACAGTTCATTTTTATGCTATTGGATAAGAAAGGAGCAGGACAGGTAAAGGAAGAATGTGTTCTGGATTGGGATTTCTGGAATAACTCATGTTCAGAAAATTCTTCACAGTGAATAAGAATGTATGTACACTAAGCATGTCAAACACCTAGAACCATGATTTATTTTATTTTTTTAATTTGCTAAGTGTAAGAATACGAAGGAGTAGAGACAGCACTTGTGTATACAGGGAGAGTGATCTACAGTGTAGAACAGTGGAGTAAGAACTACAATTCTGTGTTTTGGAATAAAGACCAAGCTAAGCAGAATTGCAAGGTATGATTCCCCAATATTTTCCATTACAAAACCCCAGAGCAAGGAAAAATCAATTCTTCTCTTCTGGCACTTTGAGCCTGTAATTTGAATTGGCTGACTGCAGATGCAAAGTTTCTTAGAACTGTTATGTTTGACGGTAAAAATCACACAAATTTTCCATGCTCTTCTGCAGATTCTGTCAATATAAACAAGCTGTGGTCAGTTACCTGCAGCCCAGTGAAGTGGCTAATACTGGATGGAGCTGGTGTCAATTTGCCTTCATAATTTCAGGAACCACTTACACAGAGCTACATGCTCTTGTGGTTATCTGTGCCTGCATTTTGAGAAGCACGGATGAGGTCAAATGCATAGGACCTGAAACAGTGTGATCCCTGTAAGATTTTTTTGTTTAGTTTAGGCTCTCAATTTCCTACACGTAGGACCTTGACATAATAAGGCTGCATTGGATCTCTCTTCTTGCATCTCTGAGAGTCACCTACTAGACTAACCCGGGTAAACTATCACTCCTAGTAGTCCTGAAATTAACCCTTTGCAGTCCTCCACCTCCATCCCTCTAATAAGGTTTTTTTTTTTTTTTTTTCTGAGGGTGCCTGGTGGCTTGGTCTGTTGAGCATCTGCCTGTGGCTCAGGTCACAATCCTGGGGTCCTGGGATCGAGCCCCTGTTGGGCTCCCTGCTCAGCTGGGAGTCTGCTTCTCCCTCTGCCTCTCCCTCTGCTCCTCCCCCAGCTTGCGCTTTTTCTCAAATAAATAAATAAAATCTTAAAAAAAAGGGTTTTGTTTTTTTTTCTATGTTGGTGTCATTTTACTAGGTGAGTGTCCCACTTGATATCCAGCCTCAGTAAATAAGTAAAATATGGTCTGTGACCATATTTTAGCCACATTTATCTCCTCTAACATTTAGAATAATGCCCTTTGATACTGTAAACTCAATAACTCTAATAAAAATTTCAAAATATTTTTCTCTCCATTTTTCCATTTTCTTTTCCATTATTGCTTAAGAATATCTTATCTCAAAAGGTGGTAATTATGCTAAAAATACACTGAGAAGAATGGGAATATCAGCCTTCTTTTGACTTCAGTGAGTTTCTGCAATGTTTCCATCTGCAATTCTTTCCACTTGAATACACATTAAAAGATTGGAAGTGTGGGGGTGGGGGAGGAGGTGGATGGAAATTATTCTCTGAGCACACTTATTATGCCAACAATGCAATTTAATGCATCTTTGATATTGTGCAATTAGGTATTAAAATTTATCATAACTAGAAATGTTCTCGGTCAGTGGGAATTACTGTAGATAATTTCAGGTAACCTGGGAATAATCTGGCTAGCTAGAAGGCCTAGACCAATATATAAAGCATTCAGTTTAGGGGAAAATTGATTTGTTCTTCACATTAATCCTCTGCTTAACTATATTGGGAAATGCAAATTCACATAAAACCTGAGACAGAAACCAGTAATTCTTTTACATTTTAAAATAAATTTATAGACACAATATGGCAACTAAAAAATTATCCCCAAACCGTATTTTACTGATTTTTTTGGAAAGGGTTAATTATTTTTGCAAAAAATTAAGTTTTATTGTACATTACTGATTTGATTTAGATTCCTACCTCTATTTTCATTATTGCCCTTATTTTTTTAAAGATTTATTTATTCATTAGAGAGAGCACGAGGGGAGAAGCAGAGAGAGAGGGAGAGAGAGAGAATCTCAAGTAGACTTCCTGCTGAGTATAGAGCCCAACACAGGGGCTCACTCCCAAGACCCAAGATCATGACCTGAATTGAAATCTAGAGTTGGAACTTCAACCAACTGAGGCACCCAGGCGCCCTGCCCTTGTTTTATTTTCTCTGATTTTCTTTCTCTCACACCAGTGGTTCCAAATGGAGACTGAGGTGAAGGCAGGGGTAAACATATTAGTATAGTTGGATAGATTTATCAAATATGTATGGTAATTCCACAAACTCCAAATTCTGATCACATTGTATGTTTTTGGCATGCTTTTGGCCTTCTATATGCTAACAAGAAAATCATAACAGACTAGAAAAGAAGTACAGTAAGCAATGTTAGGAGTAGATAGGGGTGGAATTTCAGGAAACTATATTTGATATCTTTCTTGCTTCCTTTTGCACTATAATATTTAGCTATGGTGCAGTAAAAACTTAATTCACTGTTAATTGATAAGCTACAAACAATTCATAAAGTGACAGGAAATTGAGCAACCAACCATAACCTTTGGATTATGGATGCCTTTATTGTAGGCATTCTTTATGCAAGATGTAGCATCAATGGCACTGAATATGGCTGGAGTGAAAATGAAGTCAGATAAATGTGGACAGTTCTGAGAATGCTAATCACCAGAAAAAAATGTTTCCTTTATCATCTACGTGACCAAAGGTAAAAATATGGGTAATATCTTAAAACACTTTATTTTAAATAGAGATAATACAGGCAACTCAATGAAAATGTGAATTAAGTTTTAGAAGGTTGGTACTTACTCTTTTCTAACTTTAAACATTACATCAATTTAAATTTAAATATTTAAGATTATGAAATATAAACTTATTTTTAAAAAAATTATTATGGCAAAATTTATAATTATGTATCTCACTGTGATACACATTAAACATAATTTAAAAAACCAGACAAACAAAAGAAAACCACACTGCATATGGGGCTTGTTGATACTCACTTAGCATGGCGAATATCTGGCAAGGACCGCTCTAGAGCAATATTGTTGCTGACAAAAATGTTGAAACCGTTTTCCCTGTAAGCTGAGTCATCATGGTCCTCTTCAGTGAGGGGGTAAGGTTTCCCATGCTCACCTTTCCCTAGTAGGAGAAAACGAAATGGGATTATCATCTCTACAAAAACCATTTAATCTTCTAGAACAGATAATAAGAGTTAAATGCGTGTACTTCCTTAGTCACCTGTTACTATGCTCCATGGAAGACCTTTTATTAAAACGTATTATTTTATAGAAAAAATAAATATGTTCATGATAAAAAGCCAACAACACCGAAGTAGAAAGTATAATCATCTTCCAGAGAGAACCACTGTGAAGACTTTAAGCGTATGTTTTGTAACATTTATATGCAGCGTGTAATATATGCATTGCCTTATAATTTGACTTTATCCAACTTAATTGTATAAAAAAGCCATATTTTCATTTACTTCTAATGGTTGATATTATTTCATTGTATCCCAATTTACACCATTCCCCTAAAGAGATACTTTCACATTACTTCTAATTCTCCCTTTTAAAAATAATGTTGAAATAAACATCTTTGTTTATATATTCTTAATTATGTATTTTTGGAAGGGGAAGGATAATTCCTATAAATAGAATCTTGAATATCTGTAGAGTAACTTATGATAGTTTTCACACATCTTCAGAAGCATTGGATAATATTTTGACATTAACCGGTGAAATATATATTATTCATATTTTAGTTTGCTTTCTCTTGATTACTTATAAAATTAATAACTTCATATACATTTATCATTTGTATTTCTTACATTGTGAAAGGATTGTTCAGAGTTTTTAAAAAATGTGTTTTTTTATTTTTAAAGATTTTATTTATTCTTTTGAGAGAAAGAGTGAGAAAGAGAGAGAGAAGAGAACATGAGTAGGGGCAGAGGGAGAGGGAGAAGCAGACTCCCCTTAAGCAGGGAGCCTGACATGGGGCTTGATCCCAGGATCCTGGGATCATGACCTGAGCCGAATGCAGATGCTTAACTGACTGAGCCACCCAGGTGCCCCTTTTATTTGTTTTTTTTTTTAAACAAATTTTATATTATGCTTATTAAAGTTATTTTTTGTATTTTTAAAACAATTTTTTATTTTATTTATTTTTTATTAATTTATTTATTTGTCAGAGAAAGAGAGGGAGAGAGCACAAGCAAGAGAGTGGCAGGCAGAAGGAGAAGCAGGTTCCCTGCTGAGCAAGGAACCTGATGTGGGACTCAATCCCAGCACCCTGGGATCATGACCTGAGCCAAAGACAGAAGCTTAACTGACTGAGCCACCCAGGTGTCCCTTAAAACAGTTTTTATATTGTGTTTATTAAAGCTTTGTTGATTATATATATATATTCTAAATATTTCTAAATTTACTTTATTTAAATCTAATTTAAGACTTCTGTTTTCCGGTTCTGCATGCAAGGAGTTTGGAAGTTACTACTCCATCCTAACAACAAGTACAAAGCTGAACAGACTAAAAAAATCAACAACTCTTCTTGGCCCATAAGGGAAGAAACGACATAGGGCAAACTGATGTCCCCAGAAGAGAGCCAAACAGGTGAATATAGGGAGTTGAGGCTTACCAGGGCAGGCACTCAGGAGTGCAAACCTTTTGGGAACCAGTGCTTGAATAGGAAAACTTAACAGTAATTGACAAATTGCTGGAGGCTCAGTAAAGACTGACAGTTAAAAACTCCAGGGTTGGGATATTACCAGAGCCTAACTAACCTGAGGGAAGAGAAATACCCAACTCCAGCCTACTCTAACTATCCTGTCCAACCAAAGAGGAGAGAAAAATCCTGACATTCACAGTCCAGAGGCAGAGGATCACTAAAAGACTGAGACCGAATCAGAAGACTATTGAACACTTCCTCTCCCCGCCATACCTCATCATCACGTTATAAAAGCTCTATTAATAATAATCCCTTTACCCAGTATATTGTGTCTGGCTATCAGGAAAAAAAAATTACAAGGCATACCAAAAGGCAAAAAACACAATCTGAAGAGAGAACGAACATCAGGACCAGCCATGGCAGAGATGTTGGAATTATCAGACAGGGAATTTAAAGCAACTATGATTCATATGCTAAGGACTCTAATTGGTGAAGTAAATAGTGTGCAAAAACAGATGGAAAATGTAAGCAGAGAGATGGAAATTCAATAAAGGAATAAAAAAGAAATGCTAATGATAAAAAACATTAAAAAAAACGAAGAATGCTTTTGATGGGTTTATTAGTAGACTGGGCACGGTTGAGGAAAGAATCTCTGAGCTTGAGGGTATATTAATATCAGCCTTCAAAACAAAAAGGCAAACAGAAGAAAGACTGAAAAAAGTGGAACAGAATATCCAAGGATTGTGGAACAACTATAACATACACATAATGGAAATAACAGAAGGGGAAGAAAAAGGGAAAGGAATAGAAGAAATATTTGAAACAACGACTGAGAATTTCCCCAAATTAATGCCGGACAGCAAACCACAGATCCAAGAAGCTTAGAAAACACTAGGACAGGATAAATGCCAAAACGAAACAAAACAAAATTACAAACTACACCTAGGCATATCATTTTCAAATTACAGAAAATCAAAGCTAAAGACAAAATCTTGAAAGAAGCCAGTGGAAAAAAACATCCTATCTGTACAGGAACAACAACAACAAAAGAATTACATCTAACTTCACTTTTTTTTTTTTTTTTTTTTTTTAATTTGAGACAGAGAGAATGAGAGACAGAGAGCATGAGAGGGAGGAGGGTCAGAGGGAGAAGCAGACTCCCTGCCGAGCAGGGAGCCCGATGCGGGACTCGATCCCGGGACTCCAGGATCATGACCTGAGCTGAAGGCAGTCGCTTAACCAACTGAGCCACCCAGGCGCCCTAACTTCACTTCTGAAACCATGTAAGCAAGAAGAGAGTCAAATGAAATATTTAGAATTGAAAGAAGATAAAAAACACCAACCTAGAATTCTGTATGCTGTGGGATTGTCCTTCAAAAGTAAAGGAGAAATAAGAGTTTCTCAGACATACAAAAGTTGAAGAATTTGTTGCCAGTAGATTTATATTGTAAGAAATGTTTTTAAAAATTCTTTAGAGAGGAGGAAAATGATACAGATGAGAAATTTAGATCCACATAAAGAAAGGAAAAACATTGTGGAAGAATAAGAGAAGATAAAATAAAAAATAAAAGCTTTTTACTTTTCTTAATTGATATAACATAGCAGTTTGTTCAAACTAGAGTACCAACAATAGATTACATTACATATGTATATATATATATCCTACGAATTGATATGCTAAGAGAGAAAAACGGAATCCTGTAAAACGCTTAATTAAAAAACACAAAAGACAAAAAAAAGTGGAAGACAAAAATGGAACAAGGAATAAAAACAGCAAATAGAAAACAGTAATGAATATGGTAGATATTAATCAAACTGTCTAAATAATCACTTTAAATGTCAGTGGTCTAAATGCACCAATTAAAAAACAGAAATTGTCAGAGTGGATCAAAATAAATCTAATTTAAGATTTTTTTCCAACCGGATGTTTTTTTTTTTTCTTTCATAGTTTATTCACATATTATATTTATAAATAAATCTTTTCTCAATATTATTTTTTATTTTTATTTGTATTTATCTTTATTTCTTATTTATTTTTTAAAATATTTTATTTATTTATTTGAGAGAGAGAGATAGCATGAGAGGGAAGAGGGTCAGAGGGAGAAGCAGACTCCCCACTGAGTGGGGAGCCCAATGAAGGGCTTGATCCTGGGACTGCAGGATCATGACCTGATTGGAAGGCAGACACTTAACAGACTGAGCCACCCGGGTGCCCCGCAATATTATTTTTTTAATTCATTCATGAATTCAGAGTTTTACTAACATTTTATTTTTGTTTTGTCCATCAAAATTTTGAACCATCTGGCTTGTGAGAAATGAAGAAAGTATCACATTTATTTTTTCACAAATAGGTAGCCATAGGAATTACATTTAATGAATAGTCTTTTCCTTTCTTGTCCACATACAAAATTTCACACATTTTACTGGCATATTTGGGGACTTCCATATGTTCCTCTTTTCTGTCAATTTTTACACTGGAACACTGGTGGCAACACATTTTAATGTTTGGCAGAGCCATTTCTCACTCACCATATTCTTTTTCAGAAGAATATCACATATTTATTTTTCTATGTGAACTTTAGACCCATTTTACTATTTAATAAAATGGTCAGTTTGGATTTTGTTTTGAGATTAATTGAATTGATCACTTCATCCTTAGGGAAGTAATATTTTTATATATCTTAACAATTTTTCATAGTTTTTTCCCCCTGGATTTCAGTGGAATGTCACACTTTTTTTTTTTCTTTTTTCTTTTTTTTTAGTTCAAGCCTTTTTTTCTTAAGTTTTTCTAGGTAGGTGTTTTTCTTCACTGTACTATAAGTACCATCCTTTCTTCTATTATATTTTCTAAATGGTATACACTAAAGCTATTGATTTTTATACTTAATTGTTAACCAGTTACCTTACTCAACTTTTTTCTAAAAATACATATATATTTTTTATATGCATATATATTTATCTTGGGTGTTTCAAAGTACACATCATTTCATTTCAAATAATAATAATTATTTTTCTTAAAGATTTGTTTATTTATTTTAGAGAAAGAAAGAGAGAGAGAGAGCAGGAGCGAGGGAAGAGGCAGAGGGAGAGAGAGAGAGAAACCTTAAACAGACTCCTCACTGAGCGTGGAGCCCTATGTGAGTCTCCATTCTAGGACCCTAAAATCATGGCCTGAGCAGAAATCAAGAGTCTTGACACTTAACCAGTTGAGCTATCCAGGCATCCTAAATCATAACATTTAGTCTCCCCTCTTCCTCCTTTCTTCATGTGTACCACTTTCAGATTTCTTGTTTAATTCTATAGTCAAGAATAAATAACATTGGTGTCAATAGGCACTTACTCAGGTAATGACTTTAATGTGATTCCTGTTAAACACTGCACATGAATGTGTGTGTGTGTATATGTGGTGATAACATGTTAAGAAAGAATACTTCTAGTGCCTTTTAAATAAAGGTAGTTTTTCATGAATAGAATAA